AAACATGATTGTCATATATACTAGTGTAAAGCCCGGGGCATGCCCCGGTAGCACATCAATAGCACATCAATTTGATATGAGTTAAAATGTAAAATACAATTAGATATTGTGAACTAATCATAACCAATTAAAAATTTGTATTTTTAAATGATTATTAAATTATTCATCATGATATATCTCATATTTACACTTTAGTCCACATCAGGGTTTTATATTGCTGTCAGTGTTGCGGTCACTGCGGTTGATGCTATTAAGGCTGTTACAATATTATACGTATTACAGCTGATGCAGTGTGAATTATTTTCACGTTCAAATGCGACCAAAATCTTGTCCATTTATCTTGTCCCGGTGCGGCCCAATGCGGATTTACATGCGACCAAAATCTTGTCCATTTATCTTAGTTTTTTCTATTTTTCTTATCCAAATATCACGAATTGATTCATATTAGTAGACTTCAATATTTTTGTGATTAAGATTTGGATTGTTGTTCTTTTTTTTGGATGAAATTTGGATTGTTGATCTTGTAAAGCTCTATTAGTTGTATTATAGCCCATTATTTAAAGAACTTATATTTGATGAAAGTGACAAATACGTTTGTGTACTTTATCTAGCGTAGAGAGACGTATGCTTTGATTTTATAGTCAAAGATATACATTTGTGAACATCAAAATTAATATAATAATAAAAATGAAAAGTGATTAAGGACTCATCTTGTATGTTTCCATTTGTACGCTATCTAGTTTAAACGTTTTTTCCGGATCTTTTCTTCTATGTTTTCTCCAACGTTTTCTCCTGTTTTTTCTATCCTACGTTTTCTAAATAAATGTTGTATTTAAATGTTTTAATTAAATCCTATTAACCAATAAGAGCAAGACACATAAGTAAAACTGAGTTTTATTATATAAAACAATAGATGCGACGTTTAATATATTTTGATACGAAGTATATGATAGAGTACGCCTTATACGTACATACGAACGAACGTACGTACACACATAATTGAAATCTACCACAATTTTTGGGTGAAACACAGGTTGATAAAAACTTTGTCCTAAAAATATAACAATATGTAAATATGTTAATATAAATTAATATATCTATACACACAATTAACTAGATCCTTGACTTTTGAATGAAACATGAGTTGACACAAATTTTGTTTTCTTGCCATCACATGCATGTTGCCACATTTTACTACTCTAGTTTTATAGGTTATAATAATAATAATAATAATAATAATAATAATAATAATAATAATAATAATAATAATAATAATAATAATAATAATAATAATAAGACAACCGGTAAATCGTGTAAGAAAAGTCAAACTTAATAAATGAGCTTTCATATTACTCCTATCCTTAATCATGCACTCATACTAAAGAAAGATCACAATTAAGCATTTGAATATATTAAAAATCAAAATACTCAACTAGATTTTTTGTAAGTTATCAATAGGGGTGGCCTGGGCACGGTTCGGGATGGTTCGGGATTAGAGGTATCCCGGTCCCAACCCAATTAATAATAACGGTACGGGACGGCACTCGACAAGCCTTTGTCCTAGTCTTGTCCCATTTAAACCACGCGGGACCATGATGATTTGGAACGGTTCGAGACGTTCCAAACTAAAAAAAATGATCATTTGTAATTAAAATATACTATGTATAAGCATTTCTAAAGTATTATGCATCAAAATATTAACATTTTAAAAGTCAATTAGTGTTCATTTCAAGCAATCTAATTACAAAAACCTAATAGCTATTAGATTTTAATTAGGTTTAGCAAAAATTGAAATTAAAATTTAAAACACAGCAAAAAGTAAAATAATTTATTCAAAATTATATGTTCTAGTTGTGAGATACTCATAAGCAAATATATAGAGTGAGATAAAAACATATGTTAGTAAATATTTATGTTAGGTATTATTTTTAATTTTAAATATTGGGCTTGAAAAACTAAACACAATCATTTATTTTTTGAGTTGAGACTACAAATTAAACTAGTCACATGCTAAAAAAACTAAATAGACATTACTATACAAGCAGGACAATGGGACGGTTCGGGATAACCTTCCAGTGTCCCGGTCATGTCCCGTTTTAAATATGTACGAGAATAGTGCGGGACAAAATGAACAGATCCCAAACAGAAAGGTACAACATCGATACGGTTTCGGGATATACCGGAATGAGACAATGGGACCGAGATTGTTGCCTGCCCTAGTTATCAATATGTTTATAGACATCACATTAACACTTCATTATGGCCCAGTCCAAATGCATGGGTGAGCTAGGGTGGGCTCTAGCCTAGCCCTACCCCCAATTAATTTATTAATTATACGTCTAATTTTGTTGAATTAAAGACCAACCCACCCTAAATAGACTCAATAATTAGATCAAGTAGTAACCCACCATCCCAATAAAACATTTAGATTTTAAATATGCAAATACTCTGATTTGTAAGCACCCCAATTAGTGGGCAGTCTCTTTCTAATTTGATTTGATTTTTAGAATTTCGTGGTCCTCGTTCTAAATTTTACGCAAGTAAGGATGTTCTCTTTTGGAATTTTTTCAAGCTCATACCATACCAAATTTAAACATACCAGACTTTAACAGATCAGACCAGACCAGACCAGATCAAACTTGAACAATTATAAAATAGGGAAAATTGTGATTAGCCCCCTGAGGTTATGCTATAATTATTAATGCAACCTTGCGTTTTCAAAAATCAATTAGTTACCCCCTAAGTTTTGATTATTTTCACCGTTTGCCCCCTCATGTTAGTATTTATTAAATTTAATTTAATATAAATCTTAAATTCAATAAAAACTATCTATAAAATTAAATTTTAAAGTAAATCATAATTTATTATCATTATTATAAGTCATTGTTGTTTACTGTTATTTTTATACTTAGCTACTCAATCGTGGAATAATTAAAGTAGTTAAGGGAAAAGACTCACGAGTAAGATATAAAATATTATATATTTATATTTTTGAATTTAAAAAAATAAATATCATTTAAACTTATTAAATTAATAAACTTTTTTTGAAGAAGAAATCATCAAAATTAGTAATAGAATTAATAAAAAATTAAACAAATCAAAACCTATGATATACGGAGTATATTTTAGTTCTTAGATCAATAGGTTTCGTTTATTCAGACCTTATATCGATACATTTTTGTCTTTTAGGTCTCTTATCAATGCTAGATCAATCTTTTAGGTCATGGATTGATAAAATTCATTTTTTCTTGGTTCTTTGCTAAAAGAAGTGTTATTGAGATTAATTCGTCCGGATGAATTACAAATAATACTTTTATATTGATGATGAAGAGGTGTATATAATTTTGATAACACATATTTCAAATAATATTTCTTTTATGTATCCCATGAATATTACTCAATTAAGACTCTTCTACCTTAACTACTTTGATCAATATTTATTCCACGATCGAGTAGCTAAGCAAAAAAATAACGATAAAAAAAAAGACTCATAATTATGATAATAAATTTTGTTTTACTTTAAAAATTAATTTCACAGACAATTTTCATTGAATTTAAGAATTATATTAAATTTAATTTAACAAATATTAACATGAGAGGGGCATACAGTGAGAATGATCAAAACTCAGGGGGTAACTAATTGGTTTTTGAAAATGCAAGGTTGCATTAATAATTATGGCATAACCTCAGGGGGTTAATAATAATTTTCCCTATAAAATATACAGAGACCAGAAATTACCACACCAGACCAGACCAGTTCAGATCAGACGAGACCATATCGGTCAGATCAGGAGCTGATTGAAGGAGGCAGACATTTTTTCAAACTTCTTTTTCTATAAGTGTTAATAATGTTAAAAATATGAAATATTATACATTACTTAACAGTTCAATAAATTAATAAAATTAGAATAATAATTCAAATGTATTTTATTATTATAATTTTTTTGAATAATTTCGGTCAAGGTTATCAATGTTTACTGTAAAAGATAAATTAAAATTTATGCATATATGATTTTTTTTGCTCTTTATGTAAATATTTCAATAAATGTTTCCGTTCGCTCAAGAAGTAGATGTAATAATTTTAAGAAAAATAGATCCAAATCCTATTATTTATAAAGAAGTAGATGTAATTTTACGAAAAAAAATTTCCAAATCCCCATTATTTATAAAGAAGTACGATCCAAACATTCCTTACTTATTAGAAGAGGTTCTCTTCGTCTTTTCTTAGCTTATTCTTATTTTATTCAGATCAGATCAGAAAGATTCAGATCAGATTAGAAGCATTCAGATCAAACCAGCATGATTCTGATCAGATCAGACCAGATCAGAAACATTCAGATCAAATTAGAAAACTTCAAACATGATTTATCACTTTTATTATTATATTAATTATAATTATTATTACATTATAATTAATAATAATAATATAATAATAATTTAATAATAATAATAATATAATAATATATTCCCTCCGTCCCATTGGACTTTGCCAAATGCAAAGTAGGTGAGAAATAAGAATAGTAAAAACTGTGTGGTTGAAATTTGTGCAGAGGAGAGAGAAATGTGCATAACCACAAATTAGTTGCTTTAATAGGAAAATGACAAAGTTTTCTGGGACAATAAAAAGGGAAAGTTGGCAAAGTCTAATGGGAAGGAGGAAGTAAATATTAATATTATACGTAGTAATAATTATATTATTATAATATTATTATTATTATAATATTATTATAATTATAATTATAATTATAGAAATATTCAAATCAGATCAGATCAGAAAGATTCAGATCAGATTAGAAGGATTCAGATTAGATTAGAAACATTCAGATCAGATCAGACCAGATTAGAAAGATTCGGATAAGATGAAATCAGAAAGATTCAGATCAGATCAGAAAAATTCAGATTAGATCAGATCAGAACTTTAAAAATTCAGATTAGAAACATTCAGATGAGGTGAAGAGAGCAGCTTCCCGAATGTAGTCACATATATATTCAGGCAATCAGGCTTAATTAATTACATGCAGGCTGCAGCAGGTACAAAATTCCACTGATCTCTATCAATCCCATTAATTGTTATTGTGCAGCCTTTGGATCAGCTAGAGCAGAAGATGAGTTCCTGGGATTTGTGGGTAGAGCAAGCTCTTTCCAGACTCCATTCTCTGAAACTCCTCCGATCTATTAGGCCCATCCTTCCTTTAAACACCACCCAACCGGGCGTGCAAGCAAGCGGCCGCCGCCACTCTTTTCCCGGCAATGACCTCCAAGTGTTCAACGATTTGCGCCTGTGGGACAGGGCCTCAGTTGAAGTCATGATTTCCGAAGCTACTTTCCAAAAATGGATGCAAGATGCACCCAGTTCTGGTAATACTATATATTGCATGCTTCTCGCTGCACAATTTACAGTTTACTTCCACTTATATAATACGCCGTACGAAGTATATAAAGGTTTGCGTTTTTTATAGTTTTTTCTTTGATTCATGATGAAGTACACACTTCTCTTTGATTTTAAACACAACGTACGATTTAGTCAAAATATCTCCATGGACATTTCCTCTTCCGGAATTTTAGTGTTAAAATACACATACACCAGACATCTACCATACCAGAGTACTAGATCAGATCAGATAAGTTCAGATCAAACCAAACTTAAACAGAGCAAACTGGATTAGACCATACAAGACCGAAAAATTTCAATCCAATGTAAAACATCCTTAAAAGTTGATACATATACATATACATATATGCGCATAATGCTCCATATATTTCAATAATTTACTTGACTGTCTTCCTGATCGAATTTTGAGTTGAAATTTGGTATGAATAAACTAGATTTGATGAAAAACATATTCAAAAAATTTCATCAATAAATTCCACCGGGAAGGACCTCTGGTGGCTTTGTCCGTACGGAACTTCCTGTACATCCATATGTACAGGAACAGCCCTCTAAATCATACACTTCGTATATACTTAATATAATTAAGTAATATGCATTAATTAGTTAAATTAGAAATTGAATATTTAATAATTATGAATATGATTACAAATGTAAGTATAACTATATATATACATTCAATGTAGTTACACCATAAAATTAAACAAATTTATAAGTTAGGGATTAAAATGTTTTTATTTGGAGTTTTGGACCCAAATTTTCCGGTCTGGTTTGAGCTTTTCTGGTTTGGTCTTTGTGAAACTTTTTCTTATTTCTTATAGGAGACGACCAGCTGCCTGGCGATCAAAATGTTTGGGCGGATGACGACGCTAGGGCTTCTGGTGAAAAATACAGGAAGTTACTTTTATTCTCTGGAAGTAATTACTTGGGATTGAGTTCTCACCCAAGTATAGTCAAAGCAGTAACACAGGTGAAATGTTTATCACAACACAATAAATTGTAACGAGGACATATAGTATATATAAATGTATTGGTTCATTTTGATACATAAATTACTACTAAATGAAGAAAAATACTCCGTACTACGTAGCACTTTAAATTATAGGAGTATTGGAATGTATCAATTCGGGTACCCTATGTAGCACCGATACCGGTACGCGGAAACACGGAAATGCGGAAACGGGTACGGGGATACGTCAAAACAAAAAAAAGTAGGATACGGATACGGGGCCATATTTATAAATATTAAAAGTTATGAGGGTGTATTTACAAATATTAAAAGTTATAGGGGTCTATTTATAAATATTAAAAATAGATTTTTTTTTGAATATATATATACATACATATAATATCCTATGATGTCTACCCATTCATTGCATTGAAACATTTTCCTTTTTCAAGATACTTAGTAATAAATTCATAATATTTCTCATATACACTAGTGTATCTCGAAATATAAATGTAGTCAATAAGTCATTAATTTAAAATGAGAAATAAGTCAAACAACTACAATCTTGAAGTTAAAAGTGCAAGTACCCAATTTGGAGTATGAGTTAATGACTTAATTCGGATATAGCCATATAGGCCCATTATTTGATTACCAAGTAAAATGTAGTTTTAGATTTTCATTTTTTTAGAATTTTATTAAGTAAATTTTGGGATTTTTTTAAAAAGTTGATACGGGTATCCGTGAGGATACGAGTATCGGAAACTTTCAAAAAATTACAAAAAAAATGGAAACTTTTAAAAATTGCAGATACGGCCCGGGAACGTACGGTACGGGTATCCTAGAGTATCGGATACGGGAACGTATCGGATACGCTGATACGCTACCCTAGGGAAGTATCCGTGCTTCCACTTCAGAGTATTCCATACGTAGCGGGTACCACTTGAAGTTGACCTAAATTATTTTCCAGAACATTAATTTTTAGCTCCATTTACTTTCTCCAAAACAAATTGAATGTAATGAATGTATTAATTTATTCTAGAGATATTACCCAAAATAGGACTAAAAAGGTTTGAAAATTCCAAAATAGGACTTCCATGTTTTTATTCCTAAAATAAGACTAATTACTGTCATGTTTTGGCAGTACCAGACTTCAAACATGGCAGTATTTCCCAAACTTGGCAGTAGTTACTCCTATTTTGGGAATAAAAAACATGACAGTCCTATTTTGGAATTTCCAAACTGTTTTAGTCCTATTTCGGGAACTTTCCCTTTATTCTATTGTTCAGTACACACCATATATTGTTATCAAATTCATATCCCAATTAAAGTCATGTAGTCCGACCAATTTATTGTGAAATGAAACATGCAATGTAGGGATGTACCTAATCTCGTCATTGCAAAAGATCACTATCACACTTTTTTTGATGATGTAATCAGCTTGTTAATAAACAATTCATTACAAATAATATTCTTTCGAAATCAAGTGAAGTTAAGACAAATAAATGTACTTAAAGGCTTAACGCCGGAAGCAATTCAGTTCAGTCTATGTAATTTAATTTCAAATGTACTATTATGTCTAATTATTGTCTATTTTATTTTGTTGTTGAGTATAAATTCACCTGGCTATACCTAACTTGTTATTATGGTTTGCATGATTAGGCCGTGCAAAGGCAAGGAATGGGTCCAAGAGGATCTCCCTTAGTATGTGGATATACATATTATCATAGATTGTTGGAATCCACTTTGGCTGACCTTAAAAGAAAGGAAGTACGTAAGGATCTCTCAGACACCTAATTAAGCACTCTTATATCTTCGATAATGTACTTATATAAGTTAATGGAAGAAAGAAAGTTAATTGGATAGTTTACATACGTTCCTTACTTGTAGTTCAGTGCATAGTATACTTCTTATATACGGAGTATTTTTTATTACAATCATTCTACGCGTTCACTTCATCTTACACACCACTTGTTTTCGCCTTTTTCGGGGCATAACAACTCAATTTTTCGGGGTTAGAGACAATTTCCTTTACTAAAATGAAAACAATTGTTTGCACATAGACAAAAAACACTTGGCGTGTAAGCCGGAGTGTACAAATAACATTTTACATATTATAAAAGCATTTCGTTGTTTGGCAATGAAGATAAAGTATTACTCGGTTAAGGTCTTTAGGATGCTTTAATTGGACTGAATTTAGTTCCAATCAAGACCACACTTAAACTGGGTAGACGAAACTAAACTAAATCAGACTGGACCAGATTTGGACAATTGTAAAATATGCTTACGACTGACATCTAGCAGACCATATTAAATCTGTTCGGGTCAGACCGTAGCCGAGCGCATTGATGTAAGACAAAATTGACTTTGTGCCCCATTTTTAGGCGATATTAGACTTTACATCTCATTTTTCAGAACAATATGCGACCCACCAGCTGAAACCTCGTGAAGGAATACAGTGAAAACTCAACTCGTTTACAATAGAATGGAGTGCATGCATTAACTTTTCTGAAAAAATTGGATGCAAAGTCAATTATACTCTATACCGGTATTTTTATTTCATTTATACTATACTAATTCAATAATAGCCACATGAATTTGATAGGACACATGTAATCGATACTCAGAACAATATAGAAATCAGTAGGAATTGAATAAGAACATATCGTAAAGCTTTATTCTCAGAGATGAAATATCGAGAAAGGTGTACAATGCTACAGACAATTCGAGATGCCCAGTCTCCTAGTCACGCCCAGTCCAAATGAATAATTACCTGCCTTCTTATTTCTCCCTCCCTTCTATTTATACTTACTTACGGGTCAGCCCAATACTAACTAGTACCTAGCCCAAGACCCTTTGATACACTATCACAATTATTTATTATACTTCTATTATATTATTATTAGTATTAGTATTATTATACTAATGGGTTCCTATCATATCTCTCCCCTTGGAAAACCACCTTGTCCTCAAGGTGGGTGATAGGAACCGGCCTGGACTTTCAGCTTTATCTTCATCCTTGCGCCTCTTCCTTCCCAGTACCTCACTGGTTTCTGGAATAGGAGCTTCATTACTTGAACCTTCCTCGTCATTTGCTCAGCCCCACATTTCTCTAAGATTCTCACAGCTTCTTCATGCACCCCATTATTGTCATGAGTTTGGAGCTTTCCCAACTTGTCTAGTTCTTCACATCCAGGGGCGTAGCCAGGACACTGGGCTAGACTGGGCCGGTACAAAGAATATTATTAGAAAAAAATTTACACGAAATTTTTTACACTAAAAATATTGACATTTTTCAAATTTGGGGTGGGCCAAAGCCTAGCATGGGCACCCCCTAGCTCCGCCCCTGTTCACATCCATACGATAGATACACAAGTGACCAACCGTCATCTTTCCTAACTTCTTCATCATTCATCATTATACATGCAAAACTCACATTCTGCTTCTCTTCAAATCCAGCAGTTCTTTCAAGGTAAGAAACAATATCAACTTCTATTTCCTGGACTGCCTCATACTTTCGATGCAAACTTTTATTCAAGTTCTGCCAATGAGCTCCATCCGAGGCATCCTTTGCATAAAGAATATACAGGTTGACTGCATTCTTTTGCTCTTGTGTATGGGCTTTCTCTTCAGCCTCTAACCTGTGTGCATGTTCCCTTATTAGTACCAAAAGGATAACATATTGAACTGCCGACATATTTAGTTCTGAACCACCAGCAAGTATTCTAATATTGGCAATCTTAACCTCTTTACTTAAAACAGTAAGATGCCCCACTAACTTCCTCTTTGGTGCAACCTGATAACTGGAGTTTGATTCAGAGCTCGGATGTAATCCACAATCCTCGGTAGCATCAATATATGCGTTGATGATTCCCTGAAGCTTCTTTCCATCATTGTCCTCTTTTATTTCCTCAGTTTCCTCCTTATTCACACACATCCCTTCCTTCAAGGTCCTCCTAAATGCAGTGGCAGCTCTTAAGTTGCACTGCCAAGGTATAGCAGTTCCTTCTGAGACTTCATGAACTGCAGTTAGCAGATCAGTAGCTAACATACCACACTCCCAACCAATTCACCATGTCCATTATTTTCAGCCAAGGAAGAATTTGAGCTGTCCCGATTTGGATAGCCTGCATCTCTTGTTACTCTATTAATTCCATTTATAGAAACTGTATACGAAGTGTCTTGAGATTCATTTTCTTGTCCAATGTCAACAAAGATTTCCTTCTGAACAACTTTTGTAACTCTAGCTGCAGGTATATCAGAACTTTGAGTTCTGTCCACCGGAAGCTCAGTAATATAATGATCGGACCTCCCATAGTACATTCCAGGGTAGTGCAGAATTGATTCACCCCAGCAGATTTCTCCTCTCGTCCTTCATCATTATCTATGAGTGTATCCTCTGAGAGAGGTTTCTGTGGATTGCCAAACTTTTGCGACTCAGACAGCAAGGGCGAACTGGAAGCTCCTTCTTCTGATTGCGTTGTACCTTGAAGTAAGCTGCTGGTGTATGACGAAGTCTGCGAACCTGTGGACACGGCTTGCGGAGAAGATTGCAAACTAGAAGAAGATATTGGCGATCACAAATCCTGTTTTTCTGTCTTCCGACTGTGTTTTTGGAAACGCCTATTTATGGCTTTCTTTAGAACCTTCCAACTCTTCTCTCTCGTTTGAGTATTCCACCATGGAAACCAGGCTAAGGCTCTTTCCTCCATCGCACCTTCTGCTACTACCACTTATTTTTTTCAGCAGTAGCTTTGAGGCGGAAATATTCTTCCATCTTAACAATCCATCTGTCAGCATCATCCCCGTTAAACAACGGTAATTCAACCTTTATTCCCGTCCGAATTTCTAATCTACTGCTATCGCGGCCTATACTAGAGCGATAGTGATCGGAATTACCTTCCGACGCAGCTAGATGCTCCGAATCCTTAGTTCGCCGATGTTAAGTCGAGTGCGATCTTCCTCTGGTTTGAAGCGGTTCATTTATCTCAGCCATGGATGCAGCGATGTTCTCCGTAGCAGATTTCATCTCCATGTTCGAACGCTTCTCCAGGTTCGAACGCTTCTCTAGATGTCCGTGCGAACCAAATGCGTAAAGTTCTGATCGTCGTTGTTCTCTGGCCTGCTCTGTGACCATTTTCGTTTGTTCGTATCTCAGCTTCACGATAACTACTTTTCCTCTACTGCGATAATGATGCGACGATCAATTAAGACTCCAGGAGCGATTGCTCTAATACCATTGATAAGACACATGTAATCGATACTCAGAACAATATAGAAATCAGTAGGAATTGAATAAGAACAGATCGTAAAGTGTTGTTCTCAGAGATGAAATAACGGGAAAGGTGTACAGTGCTACAGACAATTCGAGATGCCCAGTCTCCTAGCCACGCCCAGTCCAAATGAATAATTGCCTGCCATCTTTTTCTCCCTCCCTTCTATTTATACTTACTTATGGGTCAGCCCAATACTAACTAGTACCTAGCTCATTAATACACTAAATTATTACTTTTATTATATACAGAATAATACAATAATATATTTGATCTTGAGTTACTCCTTTGGTTAGAATGAAATCCCATATCTTAATATAATTTGATATACAGAGAGATTATTCTCGAGTGATTGTGTCAATTTCTTTTTGTTGTTGTTGTTGTTGTTTTAACTAATACATCATTCTCTTTGGTTGTTTTACATATACTGCTACTCTGTTAGGATTGCCTTCTCTGTGCATCAGGCTATGCAGCCAATGTGGCATTTATAACAGCTGTGGGCAGTATAAGCCTTCTGTTAGCTGCAGGTGAGAAACCCTTACTGGAAGAGGAAAGGGTGGCCATATTTTCTGATGCTCTGAACCATGCATCAATCATTGATGGTATTCGCATTGCTGAGAAACAAAAGGGTGTTTCTGTTTATGTCTACAGACACTGTGACATGTCTCACCTTAATGAACTACTGTATGTTAAGGCTTTCAATTCTTGTTGCCTTTCTGCTATTCCCTGTTCATGTTTCTTATCTTATCTGATTAGTCTGGTAAATGTATTCTTACAGAACAGGATGTAGAATGAAGAAAAAGGTTGTCATTACAGATAGGTTGGCTTAGTCTAATTAACAACTACAGAACTCCTTACATCAAAATATTGAAGGAAAACAAAATTTGATTGATTGATTTTTTTTTTTACTTTTTGATTTACTAGTTTGTTCAGTATGGATGGAAACTTTGCACCATTTGGTGAGCTTGTCAAGCTTCGTAAGAAGCATGGATTTTTGTTGGCTATTGATGATGTAAGTTTACTTTGAGATGGCGACATGAGCTTTTTATTCCATATTTTAGCTTTGATATCATTGTTATTTTCCCTATATTATACTTGAGGAAAAATTATTATACACAAAAAAAAATCATATTTTTATTAGATGCTAAATCTTTGTCTCCCTTAATTTTTAGTTCAAAAGTTGTATGAAGCTTTTAAATAATACTTAAGGGAGCTATAATGTTTTATTCAAGGAGAAAAGACTAAACTAATTTAGTTGCTTTTTATGTTTACTCGATGAACATAAAAATGACTAAATTCTTGGTTTGAAAAAAAATAATAGAAAATTAGTTCATTGGTTTATAAGAATATAAGAATGGGATGCCTTTTTTTATAGTTTATCTATAGTACAAGTTAAAAATGTACATAAATTTGTATAAATTTAAGGAGTATCTAAACACTATATACAACCATTCACCATTTCTCATATAAAGCTCAAACTGGGCTAGACACAAATCCAGTTGTTCATAGATCGAATCATAGCTGCCTCAAATATGGATAATTGGGCTTGTGTCTAGTCTAGACTATATATAGAGTCAATAGTTTCATAAGTACCCCAAATTAAATTTTTATCTATAAACTATTTGTATTCTTAATTTGCTCCAATAGTTTAAACTTTGATCTGCATACGACTCTACTTTAAACATGTGATTATTAATTAATTAATTAAAAATCATATATTATGAAAATGTTAATAGATATGTCTACCTCAATTTTGATTTAAAAAACATAATTGCTTATGATTAATACTAGCCAATTAGATATTAGATACTCTCTCCGTCCCAATTTGTTTTGCAAAGTCAACATTTTTCGGTCAATCAATAATAAAAGTCAACCCTCTCTATGGATACTTAATTCAATTTTTAATAAGTAAAATTTACATATTCAAAAACTACATTAAAATCTCTTCAAAGTTGTAAACTCCAAATTAGAATATAATTAAAAATTAACATCCTAATTAGGTGAACAAAACAAGACTGTTTGGCTAAAAAAGCCAAATTTGCAACTCTTTTTGGGACGGAGGTAGTATATGAATTATTAGAGTTATGCGTTGATGAACATGACAAGTCAAATAAGAACAAATGAAGTCTATATAGTACAAGTACAATATGCAATACTGTTTATATGAGAGTTTTTATGAGAACACTTCTCACATCAAACACTTTTTCCTCTTAAGATCTTCTCATCTGACTAGCTTTAATTTTTATTTTCTAATTAATGATGAACACAAATTTGCAATTAATTATCAAAAATTCATGTCAGGACATTTTGATAATATAACAATTCTAAAATAATTACAAAAATATCATCATATATGTGAATATTATCCATTCGTGATAAGAAACAAATGTATAATAATTTTCTCATTTATAAAGATGCACTTATAAATATAAAAATCACAATTCTTTCGACGCTTCAATATTTAATATTAGTTCATTACAGGCTCATGGAACTCTTGTATGTGGGGAAAGTGGAAGGGGTTCAGCTGAGATGTTTAACTGTGAAGAAGAAGTGGACATAAGCATAGGTACTTTAAGTAAGGCTGCAGGTTCCGTCGGTGGCTTCATTGCTTGCAGGTGCTCTTTTCCATATAAATGTCCACTTTGTTAGACCTATATATATAAAGTACTCTCCCAATCTCACAAAAATTAAATTCACTATATACTGATTTTTCTTAATCATTAATGATGAATTTTCGAAAATCATTTCCAGTACTATATATGTATGAAATTTTAAAGATTTTTTCTTTTGTGAAAGTATTTTTATCAAAACATATTTTCATTCAATGTTTAAAATTTAAATAATTCATATTAAAAATATTGTTTTTTAAATTTAAATTTCATTAATCAATAAAAGTTAATATGACGAGAGAAGGGGTATAAGATACTAAAAGTATTTGGTAGTTACTTTTTGTTACATTTTTTGTTTATGGTAATTAAACAGCGGGAAATGGAAGCAACTTATACAATCAAAGGGAAGGTCCTTCATATTTTCTACACCGGCACCCGTGCCTGTTGTTGCTGCCGCACATGGTAAATTAGTGTGCCATTAATTATTTTACTTAGAGAAAATCCGCAAATTCACCTTTATTTATCTGATCTCTAGGTAAAACTGTAAAAGTAGAATTCTAACGTTTTTTGGAACAAAATACAAATTTATAATGGGGTTGTTTGTTAAAATTTAACCTGTATAACTACTTTGTATTTTTTTCTTCAATGCATGTTTTTTTTCTTTTTTTTCTTCAATGCGTATATATTACGTTAATGTTCTCTTTATTGTTTATATTTTAATATATAACAAAACTAATTTATATCACTATGGGAGAAATTAAATATTTTGAAATGTCAACATAAATTAAAAGCGTGTGTGCTGCAAACATTTAAAAAGAGTTTATATTAAAAAAGTTATATTTTTATTCGTGTTAAGTTTACACTAAATATATTAAATTAGCATTAAACATTAGGTTAGGGGTGAATTCGCATCATTTTCCTATTATTTATAAAATTTTTGAAACCTAAAAATATATATAATATGTTTGGATCTATGCTAGCTAGGGAAGGAACCAAAATGGTAAGGAAGTTTTTTTAATGTTCGCAATATGTCGGGGAGAGAAAAAACGTGATGAAATATGATTCAGTACTTATTAACTTTAATTTATATACTTGGATTTCTTAGTCTCTAAATATAATTCTCTATGAAGCAGAAACAAATAAATAAAACGACTTTTAACTTTTAACAAACGAAATGAAAAATCATTGAGCTTAAGCCATTATATTGTACTATACGTTTTATTTCCTTGATATTTTCATTTATTCAAAGTATCACTAATATGAAAATGAGAATGCATTTGAAAATGAGAAGGAATGGTTGATAAGCTGGCCTGGGGATTGGATAATTAGATACCTACTATATTGGACTTTGCACCCAATTTTTTAAAAAATTAGACTTTGTACCCCCATTGTATAACATTTTGTGAAGAAAATGAAAATATCAAGAAAATAAAGTGCAAAGTCTAAGTTTTTTTTTTAAAATGGGATAGGTGTAATGTCCAATATCACTTAGAAAGCAAGGCGCAAAGTCAAAATATTCCTATTTAAAAGTTAAAACTAGACGATTAGGGTTTATATTAATTAAAAGATTAAAACAGCTAGGTTGCTGTTTAAATTTTAATAACAGTAGTTTAAATAGTTACTACTTACTACTTACTAGTATTAATTATGCATGCAGCTGCTATTGTTGTGGCTAAAAAGGAGGAGTGGCGTAGAAAGGCGATCTGGGAGAGGGTGCAAGACTTTCGTAAAAGGATGACACCCCATCCCTGAGGGCCCCCCACCACCGACCGGACGACACGATGGGAGGATGTAAATTGGACTATAATCACAATCTGACAGATAGAGAGTGGGGCTCTGTCCCCGGTACTTGCAGAGGCCCTATGCATTTTTCAACATAGTAACCCCTCATCGCAGTTGCCGGGATTCGAACCCGAGACCTAACCCTTGTGGCACTCCCTTGCTACCAGTTGAGCTACGCCCACCGGTAGGGTGCAAGACTTTCGTGATCTCACTGGGATCCCAATCACAAGTCACATCATTTCCTTAATTCTTGGAAGTGAAGCTAGGGCATCGCAAACTAGCAGGTGCCATATTAATTACATAAAAAATCCATTTGTACACACTTTCTTATACACATGGTAAGAATGTTATTTCTATTATCTATGAATAATGTTCACCACTAAAACATGTCTGTGAATTTATTCATCGGCATGATTTGTCTTTGAACGAGATTCTTAACGACAAAAAAGAAGAGTTAATAGAAACAAAAAATGAATCTATGTTTTATGGGACTTAAAACTATCTATTTGTACAAAAATGCCCCCGGCCATTTAGTTTTTATTTGAATTTAAAATTAAAAATATAAAATTAAAGCTTGATGAAATACGTAAATAGGGGGCAGTGTCAGAGAGGAGGTTAGGGAGGGGGCTGGGGGTGACTGTGATAGAGAGGGGGTTGGGGATGAGCTGAGGGCTGGTTGGAGGATGGAGAGGGGCTGGGGTGTCGGAGTAGCGGCAGTCACCGCCTGCAATAGCGGCGGTCCCACCAGAACAGATACAGTCATTGGACGGAAATGCAGTCTTTGGTCTCCGCCTAGAGATGACTGACTGACTGTGACTTGTGGGTCACTCATTTCAATTGTGAAAATAGGTCACGGTCGGTTGCACTGTCATTGGGTCACTATCGCCACTACAACAAATTTACGTTTTCCCTACATGTTATCTTTGTGTGCAAAGATAGTTTTTTGTAGTCTCAATTCTTTCCCAACAAATTTAATTTGTGGCCATATTTGTAGGGCAAAGCTCGAAGCAAAAGAGTTTAGCCCACAAATAGTGACACTTTGTATGGGCATATATATGAAGACAAATCTTAAGCATACAAATTAAATTTGTGTGTATAGCTCTCTTGTCACAAATGTATTCATGGAGACACGTTAATTATGCCCACACATTATTTTTTCCGGGACATGTCATAGTACACAAATGCTTTAGCATACAACACGTCTGTCTCCAAAGAATACGTAGTAATTTTTTACCAATTGTAATTTAGAGCCACATATCTATGAGAACAAAATGTATATATCCAATAATCTCCATAAACGTGTACAAATTCAATTGTATAAGGAAGAATATTCATTACAAAATTCATGATAAATTTAAATTTAACTTGGCTTCATTAAAATTACAACAATGAAAGTACGAATCATATACTATCGTAATAAACTAAGAAAGATACTTGAGTCAAAAGTGCAACAACAACTCAATATTTAACATCTAAAAATATTATTCCAATTAAAAGTTCACTCATACTACGTATCTAGTAAAACTTTCACTCCTCGGTGTGGTTATCTTCAACAAGATGATCAGTTCCACCGTAAGTGTGTCAATCTTGTGTTTTGTTAGTGAAGTATGGCAAGCCCTAATACCCCAAAATCGAGTAGAATTGGTGTTTCATTCATTTTTCTGATAATCTTTGCCACTCTCCACTTTATCTCCACTCAAGCCATGATATGCAGCTGTTTCCTTGCTACCAGTACCCACTTTATGTCCACTTGATCCCCGTCAAATGCTTGCTCTGATCTGCCACCATTCTTTTGCACGTACTCAGATGTGAACATACTTTTCTAGCTGCACAATCACCTTCTAACCAATTCTCTATATGTGGTGGGGTGTTGTAGATTATTTGTGTACCTCCTTAGAGTATATACTTGCACAACTTGTCAATAACTCAAAGAGTATGCCCATTGAAGTACCCTGTTCACCAAGCAACTTTGTTAGGGTATAAAAATTAAGAAATTACTGGATAACTCACTAAATATATTTTAGCAGCATGCTCTAATATTATAAAACAACACAATATTTTTCATCAAAACTACAACCAAGAGTCGACCCATGAATTGAGAAAAAATGGGAGCCCAATTTGTTACTCAGTTGAAATAAAGTTTTAATTAGACAGAGGACATACACAACAATACACCTTATACAAGTTCCTTTCTTACTCCGTATAGTCTAACGTTATTAGAGTACCACTCAACTACCATTTTCTACAATGTAGTATTTAGATAGTCATATCGATAGCACAAAACAACAACAACAACACTGGTATACACTACACACGACACATTTATACCTTATTGATATTATATGGGCCTGGTTTTGGTTTAGGATTATTGTCAAACACGTTGGCTGCACAGTTTTCCAAATAAGAATCAGAAGGCCAAATTAAAGAAGTTGGGCATTCATTTAAGAAAAATCAATGCACTAAATACTGGATTCATATAGATTTCAAATCATTAGGACATTAACAAATCCCTTGGAAAAGATTGAAGGGCACAAACCGACTCATGAGAAATTCAGATTGGAAGCTTAGAATCGCTTTAATTTCTTCATAGGAAATGTTTCGCGAGGATACGTAGTAGTAGATTAAGAAGATAATAATACCTGAACCTGAACTGAGGAAGAGAGAAATACAATTCTGAAAGACAGCCTAGCTACTCTGTGCGGCTAGGGTAAAAAATACTCCGTATGTATGGGTACAAATGAAAGGCGACCGAACGATGATTCTGATGACTAACATGAGGTCGTGTGTTAGGTATACGTTACAGACATTTGTTTCTTGAGCGAAGATCAATCATTTGTGTTACTTTTTCATCGATAATTGTCATTGTATACGATAGTATGTACATAGAAATGACTCTTCAAACACGTACCCACCATGGCACCATCTAATATAATCTTTTAATCTCGAACAGGCATCTTTTGGAGTTTGGCTTCCATGTGGTTGCTGTTTACCCCCCAGCAGTGCCATTTAACTTATGCAGGGTAAGGATAACGCTAAGTGCAGGTCACACTTTGGACGATATTAGAAAGCTTACTGCTGCACTTTCACAGTGTATCAATTTCCGGGAGATTGGCTTTCACAGATCTGCAAGACTCTAGCTCTCCATCTCTTACTACTGTGCTTCTTTTTTCTTTTTTCTTTTTGTTAAGGCCCTTCAATGTCATATCATTCGGAATGAATAATACGTTTCCCATTCACAAATAAAAACAAGAACTCTATTGGTAATAGTTTTACTACTAGAAACAAGTGTCCGAAGATGGCAGTTAACATTTTGCTATTAATATAACTCAATAAAAATTAAAGAACTTTTTATGTTTGTAAGAGATTACTTTTTGGATTAACAACCCAACGAAAGGTCTCCCTGTTTTTATCGTATTTAAGACCTTTAAGGACATGAATAATCCTTATTCAAAAACTAAGATCAGTTATATATGCTTAATCCCTCCCAATATCCAGGGGCTTTGCAAGCAAGACTGTTAAACAATGCCATTAAGAGAGGTTTATATCCGTTTTTGAACCTTTATTAATGTACAAAATAAAGATTATACAATGTAATGTAGAGTCAAATATGTTCAATGTTAGTTTTAAATTTTTCCTTTGAAATGAAAAAGCTTATATTAATCTCAAAGAAACAAACATCCTCACATCCACAATAAACCAAGTCTGCCCTCTAGACTAGGTATAACCAAAAGACCCTCTCACCCCTGATCGGCCACAAAGTAGATCACTCAAAACTGAGCGAGACTAATCGTTTAACTTGCGTGAGTTTCGAAGCTTTTATTGGTCAAACAAGCATTGTCGCTTCCACCCAAATTCCAGATAAGAAACTAAACCAAAAAATAAAATACCTACCACTACTATCAAAGACAACAAAAAAACCATAGTACTTAATGAAACAGAAGAGAAAGAAATAAAAGTAGCTTGTCTTATGGAGTCTCATCACTCCACATTCCTCTTAATAAATGTGTAACAGTCTCAGTTTTGTGTTAGGCAAGCCACAGAGCTACAACTCGGCTCTTTTCCATTTTTTGTCTGGATCTGCTCCACATCCATATCCTTGCTAAAATGAATATTATCTCATGTCTCATCAATTCATCTCCGTTTTTATTCCATTTTCCCCTAGATTTGGCTGGCCCTCTTTCCTCAAATATGTCTCCCACTCTCCCTGCTCTTCATTAACTGTAGACCATATCCCTGCCTCCCTGCTTTTATTGTGTCCTCCCACCGGAACTAGTCATGTATTCTCCCTCACTTGCGATCTACCCTTTGTTGCCTTGAGCCATGTACGGGCTGAAAAGTCTGTCTCCAATCCTCTCACTTCCCTCCTTCTTGCGTGGGCAGTAACTCTCCGCATTTATGATAATTCCCGACAGAAAACAAAAATCAGGTAATTTCTCACAACGAAAAGTTACATAGAAATTTATTCCTTCTTCCTTTTGCGGGAATAATTTTCTTTTCAGAGGTTTGCCTAAGTCCAGGCCGACTCTAATTCTCATAAAAGGGTTCTATTTAGCAGAGAAATTATATTCACCGACTTTAATAAATTTCCCCACCAAATGACCAATTCTGTCTGCATTATTCAGAGTAAAGTAACCAACATGTATATCGTGAACCTGAATCCAGAAATATGCCATATTTAAAGGAACAAACATAGGTAAATCCCCTTATTTCAATTTACTCATCATGACAATAAGATTTTGATCATAGGTCCACGATCCCTCCTCAATAATTCTAATCATGTCATTCTCATGTTAATAATATGACATTAGCATTGTTATTAATGTGTAAGTTAAAAAGGCCCATAAACTTTTAAATCCGTGGACATTTTTTGAATGAATTTCATTGATTTTCATAAATTTTGGATTTCGTATGAATAATATTTATCAATTTTATGGAAAGCACAAGTTTAAACAAGAACTATGTTAAGTAATAACATTTATAAGTCTAAACATCGTTAGAGGTCAACTACACAATTGTATAAATGATAAATGATAAGATACAATAAGAATAAATGGAAGAAATGAAATTTATCTCGTCATGCGAAATTCAACAAGAATACATCAGTTATGCATCCTGATTTCTTTGTATTAATTAGGGTAAGGAATAAATTGTATTTAGATTTTGATGATGCTAGATTAATTAGGATATTAGAGCACCCCCATTAGAAAATTGTATTAGAAATTTCTAAGTGTAAGCACTAGAATAATCGACTGGACAGAAGACCTTCAGGCCCTCTGCTGAACTCTTGCTGGACAGAAATGCTCGAGGGTCTGTTTGCAACAGCTTCTGCTTTTAAAAAAGTGTTTTTTTAATGAAATGGGGAGA